AAAAAAAAAAAAATATATAATATACGCGTAATTATATATTTTATGTTGTTAAATACATAAATATAAAAAAAAAACCATAATATACGCGTATACATACCTTTTAATCTTCAAATTTTAACTTTTAAGACGTGTTATATTTTGCGAGAAAAAAAAGATGATTGATATGATCGATATACAGTATAATTATTTGTTTATCCAATTAATGATAAGAATATGTGCCACATATGTGCCACAATATCACGTGATCGAAGAATTTTTCTGGGTGCTGTTGGGGTAGTTTGATTAGCTGGATAACTCACGTGATGATCACAAATATCCATTTTATAAATTATAATCCCCACGCGCACAAAATCTAAATTCCCAATTTATTTGATTACAATATTATAAAAATAAACTTATATGTTTTAGGAATAGTAAAAATATGATATACGGTATGGTGCTAAAATTGGTACAACTAATAATTTAGTATGGTACACTATTTTCATATTAAAATTCTATACATTATAGCTGATACCGCATATTTATTACATAAAGATCGAAGATGGAATTCCTAGATCTTGGTTATAAAGTAAATCATTTCGACAATTTTAACTTGTGAATGCATCAATGCAAAAGTTTGGCGTAAATTTATTTTGTGCCTCAAAATGTTTCATTTATAATTTTTCCAAGTTCGGAATTTACAATACACTACATTTTTTTTTTTGGCTGGGTCATTGATTAGGATTCTATAACAAATTCACAACCTCCTACAGGTAGAGAAAATATATGGAAACTCAAAATTATAAACTTTTTTTAATTAGTTTTTTTTTATTTAATTCAAGGAAATACGGAATACTCATCATCCATATTATCAACAGTACCAGAAAGAAATGCAGTAATAATACCGGGTGCTAACCAAATTACAATAACATATAAAATGAACGATATTAAACCGTCAATAGGTTATATTACAATTAGTCAAAAGAATACAATTGAAGGAGGTGATGATTTCCTTAGAACAAAAATATCCGCAAATAATTCAAAATCTATTACAATAATTGGATCCGAGGTGAGGGTTACATTAGAAGATTATGTTTTTGATAGAGGAAATACGACATACATTTTTAAGATTGATGATGACTTTTGTTGAAGTTAATGGTCAAAATTTAACGGGTAGTTCTTGGGAAGTTTCGACAGGTAAATATTTTGTGACTTTTATTTTTTTTATCTGATAAATGAACTAGTAGTTTTTTATATATAAAAAAATTTTTTATTTTAGCGCCCGGTAGTGGAAGTAATGAACCAGGTAAATTATTATAATTTCATAAACTTAAGATGCTGAAATATTTTTAATTATTTTTTTTTTTTTAAAAAAAAAAAATTAGGTGATACGAGAGCAACTATTCTATTAACTCCAGCTGGAACAAAAAATTATTTAGAAAATAGAAATATATATGTCTACGAAATGTCTAAAGAAATTTCAAAAGCTCTTGCAATTGAAGAAGGTCGTATTTTTATACCATATGATAGGTATCAATATAAGAGAAACACTCGTGAAGATCAAATTTTGTTACTCATAGATATTAAAGATACCAAAACACCAGATCAACCAAGTTCATTTGCATTAAGACATAGTTTAGATAAAATTATTATATCCAAAAGTACTTCAGCTATATACCAATAGGAACGCGTACAGCGGATTTAGATCCAAATTATGGAGCTCCAGAGAATCGTAAGTCTAGTACAATTTTTTGAGGAGTAATTATGTTAAATTTTTTTAGAAAAAGTTATTCTATTTAATAGAGTTCCAAATGGGTCAGGTCAGGTCAGGTTAATTGATAAACCTGACCTGAAATTTTTTTTCAGGTCAGATCAGGTCAGGTTATATCAGGTTATCTGTTTGACCTGACCTGACCTGAAACCTGAAAAATTTCAGGACTATTTTTATTAAAGTATTGAAAAAAAATGGTACAAAACTTTTTTTTTTAATATAATAT